GCCTGACTCAGCATAATTGCTGTTTTACAGCAGGTTCCTGTTCTGCAGCACATAAAACACTCAGAAATACAGCATCACAATCACATAATTACCATTATCTATTTATCCTTGTTATATCTTCAWAGTACTGCAGCCAGATGATTATATTGATCTGATTATTTATGTCTTTGCAAGGTTTTAATGTTATCTACCTACCGTATGCGGACGACATACGGCCACTGGATCCTCCTCGATGTCCTCCGGCCTCACAGATGCAGGTGGACAAGATGAAGGAGATTGTCTACAAGCTCTGCTTCAAATACAAGTAGAGGAACCTAAAATATGTTTCTATAGAAAACTGAGATGTAAATCAAATGCTTGATGTGAAAAGGATGAAATGTAGTTTCACTTTTTGTATAAAAAACTTTTATGCGGAATCAGAAAGGAACCGATGTTTAAAGATCCAAGCTGGGTTTAGACACTAAAATAACAACATTCAATTAATTTTATTTATGTAGTTCCAGAAAGCACCTCAGGACACTGTACAAAACATTCACATAAATTATAAAATCTCTCCTTCTCCATCTTCTTCCACTTATTCATAGTCAGGTCGCGGAGGCAACAGGTCCAGGAGAGAAACCCAGACATCCCTCTTCCCAACGACACTTTCCAGCTCATCCTGGTGGATCCCATGGTGTTCCCTGGCCAGAGCGGATACATAACCCCTCCAGCGAGTCCTGGGTCTTCCCCGGGGTCTCCTACCAGTGGGACGTGTCCAGAACACCTCTAAATGGAGGTGTTCAGCATCCTAATCAGATGCTCGAACCACCTCAACTGACTCCTTTCGATGTGGAGGAGCAGCGGCTCTACTCCGAGCTCTCTCCGGATGACAGAGCTCCTCACCCTATCTCTAGGCGTTTACGCACTGCAGGGCCGGCCCCGGCCCCCAGATGGCCTAGGTCTGGCCCTGCTCAGCCCTGGATGTTTTGCACTGTCATCAGAGCCGCCTCGAAGTGGGTGGGAACTGTTTACCGGAAAAGCGCGTATAACAGTCCTTAAACATCTAGTGAGACGACGAAT